ATCTGCATGGTTCTACTTCATCATTGTGTGTGCTTCCTGTTAGCAAATGGCTTCTTGCTGTTAGGTGCTGTGCAATGGGTTCCAACTCATAGTGCCTCTGTCAACAACAGAATGAAACACTGCCTGCTCCCACCCATCTTCTAATTTGTGCTGCACTGCAAAAGCCCACAAAGAAAATGTGCTCCATCCTACTGAAGTGAGTAGTACATGGAAATAATTCATCGAAAAGGCTAATGGAGGATCATGCTAACCTCAACCTCTGTAATCCTGAGACCAGAAGAACTAGATGGTGCCTGGCTACCACAACTGCTTTGAAAGGGATCCCATTGAAAACCCTGAACAGAGTAGAAGTAATTGTGTAATAAAACTCAGAGTCATAAGTAGATTGGGCTTCTTGGACAGATAGACTGGTGGAACCCTCAACGGAGACTGGCTCTTAGTCATTCTTCAGGTGTGGGACTGAACTCACCTGGCAGCTAAAATTTTAAGCAAGGAATCAGTCTATACAATGAATAATAATATCAGGGAGGTTTGTACTCCTTTGAGCAATCAACAACTTAAGAGCAAAAGAACTGCATTTGCCTAATGACAAAGTTCAGAAGGCGGGAGTGGGTAGGAAAGAAGGAGTAATGAAAAAGAAAAACAGGACTGAAGTGAAGTAAGTGTTGTTACATTGCAGGAACTGCAGTCAATGACATGAAACAAAATGTGTATGAATTTTTGACTGGAAAACGGATTTTCTCAGTGAACCACTCATCCACAATTAACATTTTTAAAACCTTGTCTTAGAACCTCCAAGTAATTAATAAAAACTCTTCTCTGTCATTTTCCCCTTAGAACATACACCGTGTGCCTCCTCCTCCATCCTCTGGCGCTCATCATCCCAGAGCTGCTAGCATTTGTGTGTCTTACTTGGGGCTGTACGATAGCTGTGACCCTAACTTCTGTGTTCCCTGATTTCCTCTCCTTATTATCCTCTCTCTTTTCCAGAAGCAGAGACAATGAGACAGAAAAACACACACAAAACACCCGTGTAAAAGCAAGATGTTCTGTATTTTTTAGAAAAAAGCAACCTTGTTTAACTTCAAGATAATGGAATTGAAGTTAAGTTGATAGAGCTTTATCTGTGATCAAACCATGAGCATTATCTACTCTGTATCACGGAATGTGTGACAGCAGGGACGATGTGTGTTGCACAACTTCATTGGCTTTGCTGCTTTGTGATTTCATCTGCTATTCCTCATTTCCCAACTACCGTGAAGGAACAGAATCAGAAGGTTACCCCCTGGCCTTTGCTAGATGAAAACTAAAGGCCCAGGCAAGCTGAATTCCTGCCTGAAGTCACCACGTTTAGCTAGGAATGGGAGGGGAATTCACAGGGAAGCTCTGTGGAACCAGGGCCTCGTGCATCAGGACCCTGGGGTAGAACCTAGGTTCCTGGGTCTTCAGTGGGATGGGTCTGAAAGACTAGAATTTAGGGAGTAACTGAATCCTGCCCCTGGGACCCATGAACAGCCAGCTCTTTCTAAGTTGGAAGCCCCTATCTACTATTGTGATGACGAGCCTGACTGATCTTTAGCCAGATACCCTGCTACGCTCTAAAGATATAGTCCTAGTTTCTACACAGGGCCTTCACATTTAGGCCAGGCTCGAATGTGTGTGTCTCTAAAATTACGTACATGAACCTTCTGATGGGAACCACAAATGGTGTCCTCCTTGCTTCCAGCCCCACAGAGTCCACGGCACCTTGCACGGTGCTGTGGTCAGTACTGGTAACCTCAGCAGCAGGGGCAATGGATGCCATCAGGTTACACCGAGTCACTTGGATGCTGTGACCCTGCAGCAGGCAAGAGGGTTCTTCAGACATATGCTGAGACACCCATTCATCCATCTACTCAGATACTGACTGGGTCCTTCAGTCTGACTTGGGCTCCCCTGGTCCTCAAAACTCATGTTCTCCATGCTGAAGCAGCCGCGTTTCTTCTTGTGTGTGCTGGGTGCTCTGGGGTACATGCTACATATGGGCCCTTGAGAGACAGCTTGTGTCATTGACATGGTGCTCCCCTCTAGTAATTTCTTGCTGGTGTTCCCAAGAATCAACTAAGATACAAAATCATAACCATTGCCCTAAGAACTGTGAAGCAGTGAATGTGCCCCAGTGCCAGGGGACACAAACATGGCTCGCAAACGGCTGCTGATTTGGTACTCGCCCTGACAGGCGGGTGTCTTACTAAATCACTTCATTTTCTCCTCCTACCCTTTGAGGTGTGCACTTGTCACAGGTAAAGATAAACTGCTCCTGCTTTTCAAAGTCAGCTGCCAAGAGTTCACCTGAAAAACAGCGTTCAGCCGATGAAGCTTTCTATAAGTATCGTGCGTAATAAATTACACGAGGAGATTATTTACTACATGGGCAAAAATTAAAAATTCACTAGAAAGAATGTTTGCCCAGTCAAAGATTCAAGCACAGAGGCAAGTCAGGAAAACCTTTAAAAATAAGTCTCCAGTCCTGAGCAAATGTAATAGAAATGTTGCTCCTTTTCATTTCTTTCTCAGTGGGGATGAGCTGTCGGGGTGCCGTTTGCCCTTCTGTACCCTGGGTGGTTATATTCGTACCAGAGGATGGTGTGCAGAGTACCTGTGGGGCACCAGCTCTGTGGGAAGCTCTTTGTAGCTCGTTATCTCATTTCATTTAATCTTCACAGCTGCATAGCAACATTACATTTATTCACTCCACTTTCCCAACTAAGGAGACCAGCGTTCTAAAGGGTGAAGGTCACAGCACAAAGCCAGAAAATGACAAGATCAAGATGAGCTTCCAAAATGCCTGGACCGGGGTTCAGGTGGTCTTTGCACTCTGCAGCCGCCTGCTGGGATAGCAGCTTCCTGCAGACCCTGTTCTGAGTGCTTCGTAGAAATTTGCGCATTTAATCCTCACAAAAGCCCACAAGAGGTGGCATTTCATGGTCCTACATCTAGTTAAAGAGCAGTTTAGTAGGGTGCCGGTGGTCACACAACTAATGGCAGAGTGAGTGAGATTCTGTGTAGATGCAGTTTCTTGCTCTGTGCTAGGATAGTAGGTAAAAGACCCCCATTGCCTCCCCTGGCCCCCTCCTGCCCCATCCTCCACCATGAGGACTGTGTCCTTGTGTGAATTTGTCAGTGGCACAACTGAGGTCCTCCCACCCAGCAGGATCAGCGCAGCACCCGCTCCTCTATGTAACAATGTTAGCACCAGAAGTAAGCGTATAGGAAATAAATATCAGTGATTCTTCTTGGGCTTTAATTTTAAAATAAAAAAAACTTTAAAAGAAAAATTGATGATAAAAAATGTTACTCAAATTCAGTTAGACATGAGCTAAAATTTGTATGCACCAAACAAAAATATCACCTATTCAATTTCCCACTCTGTTTCCCCACTGTAAATGAAAAAAGGCTCACAGGAGTCACATAGGATGACTGAAGTGAAGGGTTCTGTCTAGTTCAATTTCTCCCTCTACAGTCTCTCGGTCTCATGACTTCTTTTGACTCTGAGATTATAAATGTGCACTATCTAGTATCTTGGGAGTTGAAGACAAACTTGCTCTTGTAGGACTGTGTATAGGCTAGGGGCCTACTTTTAAGTGGACATTTTTCCAAATTCTCTTCCATGTGGAATATAATGTTTATTAAAGGGCAACTAATTAAAAGGTAACAATATAAAGCTTTCCTAAATATTACCGCCTAAGGGGTTGTAATTAAAACTCGATGAAACAGCTCTCTGTATGCGTCTCAATCTCTCCTTCATTTGATTGTCACGTCCGGGAACAGAATGAACAAACTCAAATGCTTTAGTAATACACAAACCCATCAGTCTGGTGCCGAAGAGCTGAGAAGTTAAATGGATCTATCTGTGTGACTCCAATGGATGTAAAATAAACTTCTAGAGTGATTTAAAGAGAAAGCTCAGTGCCCTCACTGGGACCTCAGAGTACAAGCGGAGGAGTGGGATCCAGGCTGCAGGGCATATGACCACATTGCTAAGTGTGTGATCCTTTTACTATATTTGAAATGACTTCCACACGAAGATTTATGTGTTAGTCTGGGTAGACTAGAGAAACAAATTCGTAGATGCTCATATGTGTGTAATAGAGCACTGTATATCAAAGAGTAGTTGTATATTAAGAAAACATCCCAGCCCAGTCCAGATCAAGTCCTTAAGTCTGATATTAGCTCATCGGTCCCATACCAGTGTATAAAGTCCTCTTCAGACTCACACAACACATGCAATGACGCGGAATGCAGCCAGCTGTATCAGCGGGTCCCTATCTCACTTCCCTCTCCCCCTTCCTCTCATATCAACAAGTTTCCTCAAAGCCATGGGGTCTTGGGGCCCATCTCTGAGGGGCTCCAGACAAAGTCCCGACAGGCAAAGCATGTCTGTGTGAGTGGCGCATTGTGTGCAGGAGGAGCTGACTCCCACTCCGGGCGGCCGGGGCCCTGTGATTCACCTGTCCCATGAAGGATCCCCCAGAAGCGGGGAAGGCAGTGTGGACGCGCAAGACCAGGAGGGAGGGGCCTTTGTGTTTTCTTTGTTCCTGCGCTAGAAAAACCCGTCGCACCACAACTTCCCTCGCAAGCTGGCTTCAGGCTTTTAGAGGAGCTTGGCATTATGTTAGACTCTGAGCTATTCCCACGGCCCTGGCCTATTTAAAGCTCGTCTCTTTATTTAGAGTTCATGTTGGAATAAAAGGAAAAAGACTCCCAAACCCAATGGGGGAACATGAGCTAAGGCAGAAGACCAACTCAATTTACTTCTAAAAAAGGCTAGGGGTTCCCTTTTCTCATCTTGTTTTTGTTAACCAAAGTGGAATTTTATCATGTTACTGTGTGAGCTCTGTCCAGTCCCGACTCTCCCCAAAGTCCCGGCTCACTCAGCCAAGGAGAGGGGAAGAGACGGGAGCCCAAGCAGAGCTTCAGGCCGCCGTCCGCCAGGAGCGGTTTCCTTAGCCCTTGTTGGGCACAGAGCAAGCGTCTGTCTCCTTTTATGAGCAATGAAACTGTGCTGAAGGCAACAGGAGGCCGAAAACTATTCAGTCCAGGAAGCCCCCGTATCCGGCGAGCAGTAAGAAGTACACCAGCCACAGGATGCGCCTTGGGGCAGGGGGACGTGACGAGTCTGCAGCCTTTGTCTCCTGTGCGCCAGAGAGGTTGTGGCCAGGCGTGTCGCTCTCACCTCGGACAGCTGGCAGCCCCGATAGCAACGGAATGGCCCTCTCCCCGGGCTGGTTATTGCTGCTGCTGCCGCTGCCCCTCCTGGCCCGGCCGGGAGTCCGGGCGGACACAGCCGAGGCGGTGGTGTGCGCGGGCGCTGCCTGCTTCACGGCCCACTGGGGCAAGCTGAGCGCCGAAGAGGCCCAACTCAACTGCAGCACCAACGGGGGGAACCTGGCCACCGTGCGGAGCGCCGAGGAGGCCCGATACATTCAGGAGGCCCTAGCCCAACTGCTTCTGCCGGAGGCGCCGCTGACTGCCCGCATGGCCAAGTTCTGGATCGGTTTGCAGCGGGAAAAAGGCAAGTGCCTGGACGCCAACCTGCCCCTGAAGGGTTTCAGCTGGATCGGTGGCGGGGAGAACACGTCGTACACCAACTGGTACAAGGAGCCCAAGGGCACCTGCATCTCCAAGCGCTGCGTGTCCCTGGCGCTTGACCTTTCCCTCCTGCCAAGCCGCACCAGCCACCTCCCCACTTGGTCTGAGGGGCCCTGCGGGAACTCTGGCTCCCCGGGAAGCAACATCGAGGGCTTCGTGTGTAAATTCAGCTTTCGAGGTATGTGCCGGCCCCTGGCTCTAGGAGGGCCAGGCCAGATTAGCTACACCACCCCCTTTGGGGCCAGCAGCTCCTCTCTAGATGCTGTGCCCTTCGCCTCTATAGCAACTGTGGCCTGTGGGGAGGAGGGCAAGAATGGGAGCAATTATTTCCAGTGCAGGGAGAAAGGGAGTAAGCTGTTTGACTGGGATACCTCAGGACCACTCTGTGTCAACTCCAAACTTGGCTGCAGCTTCAACAATGGAGGCTGCCAGCAGGAATGCTTTGAGGGACTTGATGGTTCCTTTAACTGTGGCTGCCTACCAGGGTACCAGCTGCTAGAGGACATGGTGACTTGTGCCTCTCGAAACCCCTGTAGCTCCAACCCATGCAGAGGGATAGCCACATGTGAGCCCAAGCCCACTTGGGAAAGTTACGGTTGCTCCTGCCCACTGGGCTACCAGCTGGACCCGAGTAAGCTGGGTTGCAGTGATATAGATGAGTGCCAGGCCTCCCCCTGTCCCCAGGTGTGCATCAACACCCCTGGGAGCTTCCACTGTGCCTGCTGGGTGGGCTATGAGCCTGGGGAGGGGACCTGTCAGGACATAGATGAGTGTGTCCCTGGCCAGAACCCCTGTGATCAGAACTGCACCAACACCTACGGCTCCTTTCACTGCTCCTGCGAGGAGGGCTACGTGCTTGCTGGTGAGGATGGCACCCAGTGCCAGGACATAGACGAATGCACAAGCCCAGGAGCTGAGCATTGCGGGGAACAGTGTTTCAATGTGCCAGGCTCCTTCCACTGTGGCTGCCTGCCAGGCTGGGAGCGGTCTCCCGATGGGGTCTCCTGCACCCTTAGCCACGGGTCCCCTGAACCACCTGTAGGAGGACCTACATCCCAGGGAGAAGACCAGCGGAGCACCACACCTTCTGCTAAAACATCCAGTACCCCCAAGAGCTCCGAGGATGTCTATGAGGAGGAACCCATCACAGAGAGACCCTCCTTGCAATCCAACACCTTCATCACTCATGTCCCACCCAAGACCATGGCCTCCAGTGGGTCCCCCATCATCAGGGTAGAGCCTAGCATGAGCTACCCCATTACCGTTGCTGGCCATGCTGAGCCTGCAGGTGAGGATTTGATAAGGGAAGACAGCCCCAATGGGCAGAAACTGCTTCTGTACTACATTCTGGGCACTGTGGTGGCCATCTTACTACTGCTGGCTCTAGCTCTAGGGCTACTGATCTATCGCAAGCGGAAAGCAAGTCGGGCAGAGAAGAAGGAGAACAAAGTCCCAAGTGCAACCGACAGTTATGCCTGGGTTGCCGAGCGAGCTGAGCCCAGGGCCACGAAGAATCAGTACAGGTAAGAATCCTGCTAGGAGGTGGGAGGGGCTGCTGGTGAGGGGGAAGTGGGAGGTGAATGGGCAGCACAAACTAAGAGGAGGGACAGACCCAATGATATCATTGGCATTGGGTGTTCAAAAGTAAATCTCTATTAGTCAATCTGGAGGCACTTCTGATTGTCATCTGGTAAGTGCCCACCTGGCACAGGTACAGGTGGACCTCTCTCCGTGGTCTAAATGTACACAAGACATGGAGCCAGGGACTTCCAAAACTGTCACAATTTTTTTTTGTTTCTCATAGTCCATCACCTGGGACAGACTGTTGACAAGAGGTGACCGCAGAGCCTTTCAGTTTCAGATGACTGCCACCATCCTCAGATCCTGAAACCATCGGCCAAGCCAGGGACCTCATCCTTCCCAGAAGCTGGACTGGAGTCTTAGCGAGCCATTCCAAGGCTTCTCCTTGGGAGTTCACAGGCATTTTCCATATGTGTACAGTATTCCTAAAGTGGAAGCTATGGGAAGTGAGGGGGTGGGAAGGTGCTGTCATTTTGGAAATTGTGTGAATATTAGCCATATGCTCTCTATCTTCAAATTCAAATGTGACAATTTCACTTTTCATGCTGATTCTGGTTTAAGGGCTAACAAGACCAGTACGAATGGGGCCCTTTGTGCTGCAGCTTGCTTCATCTTCCTAACTTGAAGAAGAAAAGTCGGCCAGTTTAAATTGAGATGGCATTTTCCTCTTAGTAGAAAACAAGCTAGGTCAGCCAGCTGTTTGATTCCACTGAAAGGTTTTTGTTTGTTTGATTGTCACTGAAAGGATGACAGGGAAAATGGGCAGGACTGGACTTTTTTCTATACATTTACATCCTTGCATTTTCCCCAGCCTAAATCCACCTGTGTTCTGTCTTGTTGAACCCCCCTAAAATGGTCAGATGCATGATTAGCTGCTCAATGGGCAAGGAGGCCGGGAGTTAGAAATCACATTTCCTACTTACAACTCAGCAGCCACTCCATGGAAGACAGACGAGGCTCCCTGTTCCTGTAAAGATTTGCAAAGCCTGAGAAATATAAGGTCACCATGAGTCAGGAATCGACTCGATAGTAGTGGGTAAGCTTCTGATAGTTTTGAATTGAAGTCAAGTTTGAAATAAAAGCAAGAAGGCGGAAATGTTGTTTGCGATGAGTTAAAGACATTTTTGGAAATGCAATCTAGAAGGTCCACAAGCTTGTTTTACCAACATGTGAATGTGGAGTCAACCACTTGTGTAAGGAACACCAAAAATAAACTTCCAAAGAGAGTTGGTTTCAGAGCCAGTGCAGGCACCAAGACATTACCAAAGTTTCTCATGGCCATGCTACGACGCTCTGAAGCCAAATGTGTTCCTTAGAATTGGGTTTTAAAGGATGTGTGCTAGGTGTGATGTACTGGGTTTTGCAAGTTGTCCTTATGTGGCACTTTAGCCTAGATCAGAGTTGATACTGCCTTCTGGGAATGTTGAACCCTGGCTTCAGAGTATTGGACATCCCAAAGTTAGGGACTGATCACACGGAATGCCCTCGCAGCACTGGTTAAGGAGCTTCCATCTTTTTATTCGACAAAAAAGAGGGGTGAGTGGGTAAAATCATTGTAACATAAAAGCTGTTCTCAGCCATGTTGGCTTCTATCCCCCTTTGTAAATGCACATTTGCATAGACTCCTTCCTTCAACACAGGCTCCACAGCGCTCTTGCTGCACAGTCTTGCCTGCGGAAACACTGGAAAGCAGCTCCTAGCGTCATGGGGACCACGGGTTACAAGTCATCCAAGCAAATTGGAGCCTCGTGTCACCTGAGGGCTTTTTGCTGCCATCTGAGCAAAGAATGGACTGAGGGATGGGTCTCTTTCCAACACCACAACTGTATGCTTCTCAGAACAAAAAATGCTGGAATAATTCTGGTTTTGCATCCCTCCAATTTGTGTAATATGTTTTTCTGTTTTTTGGTATATGAAACCCAGGTTTGATGAGCCTATAGGTAGAATATATAGAACATGTAGAATACGGGTTTGGAGGCAGGGTACAGTGGTGGTGCTACTGGGTGGGGGGTGGGGGTGGGGTGGGATGAGCCGGGGCGGGTAAAAAGGAGATGATGTTAAGGAGTTCAAGAAGGAAGAGAAGGTTTGGAAACTGACTGTGGTAGCAATTGTACAATACTGCTTGATGTGATTGAACTATGGAATGATAGCTGGATTAACTCTCAATTAAAAAAGAAAGAAAGAAATGCATTCCTGCAAGAGGTGGGCACCCTGGGAAGGCTGACTAACACCTTAGGTATTCGGTCTTTAGGGTTAAAGAGATTTTTTTGTCAAGTATGGGACATAGATGCTATAGCTCATTTTTTCCCTTTTGTTTAAGAAAATGAGAACTGAAAGAATGAAAGGAAAGATTGAAACACTCCAGGGCTGAATAGGATGTTCAGAACTTTGCTTTGAAGTCTTCTGTATTCTTTCACATCCAGTGGTAAAACAGTTTGCCACTTAACTGAGACTCACCCACTGTCATTGAGTCAATTCCAACTCAGCGATTCTTCTCAGGGTGTTGGAGCCTTTGTAAATCTTGACAGGAACAGACAGCCCCATCTTCCTCCCACGGATGGGCTGGGTGCCGGGATGGTAGGGTTGAAGTGTCAATCTTGTGGTTAGCAGCCCAACACTTCTCTGGCAGTGCCACTAGGGCTCAGAGACTGCGGATTTGACACCACTTTGTGGGCACGGGACTCTCAGACTGAGATTTGTAGTCTACGGAATGGTAACCAATCATTCATGTGATTTGAGCATTCGCTAATATATGTAGGAAGTGAGAATAAAGGCACATTCAACACCTGCACCCGAGGTCTTTTGACATGCCTACTCTTATCATTTGGGGTGATGGGAGGATTCAACTATAAGGACTAAGCAGATGCCCTTAGGTCTTGAATTTGCTGAGATGATACGTTGCCCATTCATGTTTTACAGCATTCCAATTCCTGATACACCTCAAATCCAGGTTCTGGCTTCTGCATTTGAGTTCTTCTGTGGGTGGAAATGCGCAACTCTGGCTCCGAATTTAGCAGGACTCCTGACCCGTCTGTGGAACTCACATGTGCAGAAAGGGCTGTAATTAGCATAGTTGCTCAGAATCTCCCTTCAAAGAGGTTCTTCACAGGATGGAAATCATTGTCCTTAAAGTAAACACTTTAGTCTCTCCATTCTTTCTGAAGTCATGTTGGGACATGTAGATTCTTATGTGGGGGAGCTCAGGGGCCACAACTGGTCTGGATAAGCATATGTTCCCTGACTGAGGTCTTTGACAGATGGGCTGGGTTGTGGGGTGGTGCCAGAGGTACTCTTGGTCCTGTTAGGAAGGGGTGCAGTTTATTCTGCATACTGGCTACTCACCTGGTCTCCTGAAGCTTGTATCATGAGAGGCAACTGTGACCCTCAAGCAGCAGACTCGGTCAAGACTTTGTGTGCAAGGAGAGGACACCACCTGAAGTCTTCAGGATAGAGGGGATTTACATTGTCCAAAAATTTTCCTATAGCTCACTAATTTTGGGAGACTCTTAGAAAAACTAATTTCAAGACAGAATATTGAGAAGGGAGATGCCTCCTCACATTAGCAGCTCAGTGACCATTCTGATTTTAAGTCACAAGTTCATTTTAAAATTTTTATTTTCAGTTACATGTTGTTTACCTGGTGACATTGAGTAGGTGGGTCACACCAGGTTCTGGGAAGCAGGAGGTGACACTTCTAAGCCGTTCTATGACAGAACAGAAAACTTCATCTTAACATCTTCCTGATGATTGGGGCAGGAAATAGAGCCAACGTTAAACATCTAGGTGTGTTATGTACATTATGTAGGATTAACCTAGTCGTAAATAAATTTCTTTTCTCTTAACACCTATGTGCATGTTGCTATTCTCAAGTTCTTCTCATGAGACTATTTGAGCATATGTGTTGGGGCCTGGATTTTCATCACTAAACAGCCTTGGAAGAATCTGGTTATATTTATCAGGTACCTCTGGCCCGTTCCTCTCTTCTATAATGACTTATGTGGAAACAAAGAGAGCAGAGATGAGATCTAATTTAAAATATATATATATACTGAGTTCCAAATGAAGGCATTTTTAAAAGCAAACATAGGACAACCTTTTCCTATTGTTTTCCTTTTTAGTTTCTGCATTGTTTAAATCAGGGAAACAGGAAAACATTGATTCTAACAGCTGCAAAATGGGTAGTGTCCTGTACACATGTCCATCACCTTGAACAATAGCCTAAGAATGGGAATTTGAGATATGATCACTGAAAACATGTCTGTCCTTGCTTTGGCAGCAAACTCAGTGTTTAATTTTCTGTGCTTAGAAGATTTGTCAACCGAAAAACAGAGGAAGGGGGCAGCATGGACAATAATCCAACTTTCCCACATAGTGTCATCAAGCTTGGTACCAGACTCCCAAGTGTAGTACTTAGTGAAGTGATATTTTAAAAAATGAAGTGTTTTAAAAATGTTTCAGTTTGTGCTTAGAGAGAGCGTCCATCTATTTTAGAAATGAAGGAATTCCTCTCTCCTATTGTAAAGCTTATCTGTAAGGGTAGCAAGTATTTCCTTTCCAAAAACTTTGCCTGCTGTTACCCTGGACCGAAGTTCTTTTTGCATATTTGGCTTAAGTTTACGTATGGCTTTGTGCTCTGATGAGATTAGATGTGAATGTGAACACCAGTAACCACTTCATAAATCTCAGTGAAAATGGAAGTAATTTAAGTATGTGAATTTGAAAATTGTCTCACAAATTCTGGAATTGTGGGATTTCTGTGCAGGATTTTTCATCATCCTCTGCATAAATGTTTCCTGGCTCGACTACAGTGCCGCTCCTTGGAGGGTGGGTAAATTATTGTGGAATCTCAGCTCTTAAGATATAGCAGCTTTGTCTGCCTTTGTACATTTTGTTACCCACCTGCTCTAATAAACATCTGTTCAAGTAATATATTTGTTGTGAACTCGTGTTAATATCTTCCACAATGTTCCCAGAATTCAAGTTGTTGTCTTACCAAAAGAAAGATTTATTTTTGGAAGACATGGGGCCTCACCAGAGAGATTTCATTTAGGAAAGAGAAAGCTTTGCCAGGCAGCCTGGCCAGTCTCAATATTTCTTGCCAGCTGTCTGCCCCTCAATAGTCCTCCCCACTCCTTTATTTATTCATTCATCCATTTATTTATTTATTAGCATACTAAGAACCTCTAAGGGTTTCTTCAGTACACCCAATTCCCCAACTTCCATCAGGCAGCAAATAGATCCTGAAAAATGTAGTCTCGGATGTTGTCATGGACTCCGCACATGCTCTTTTCAAATCTCCACCTTCGCTCCTTTAGCCCTGTCTCATTTCCCTCTAGAGAGACTGCATGTATGTATATCCTTGTGGGGTTAGGGGCAGAGGTCTCTCTTTTGGTAGCTGCTTCCTGTTTACAAGGGGCATAGAATATTACCACCCTGCCTCTATACATAGAAATCGCTCCCAATCTATTCAATATGAAGGGAGGCAAGGTGTTTAGAGTGGAGATGCTTGACTTGGGGCTGTGAGTCCTTGAAACATGCATTTGTTCATGTTCTGCAGTCTCGCTTTCTTCAGGCTCTACTGGGTCTGTTGTTCAGAAAATTCTGTGAATGTCCCATCAAAGGTTGTCCTAGGGGAAAATTTCACAGTCTTAATGAGGCAAAAGAAAAGACAGATGGACTCCCAGCAATGTTATATTTGCCCAAGAACAATACCAGACTAAAAGCACACTATTACTGTGTATTCTTCACCCCTCCTCTACTCTCAAAGATTCTTCACTTTCAATATAAAAACAATCAGAAATTGGTTGGTTTAAGAGGTTGAAATGAAAGGACAAAGAGAAATAGCTACCTTTTCTGAAATAGACAAAAGCACTAGGAGACAGAGGACTTTTATAGAGGTCTAAATGCAGGCATGTATATATGTAAATATATGTATGTACAATAAAGGGAAATAGGCCTATGTACATATATTTATATGTTAAGTATCATGGTAGCAGACGGACATTGGGCCTTTACTCAAGTACTCCCTCAATGCAAGAATACTTTGTTCTTATAACCGGGCATTCCATGATTACTCACCTTCCTGAAACGATCATTGAAGACAAAATGGGTGCATAGCACATGTGGTGAAGAAAGCTGATGATGCCTAGCTATCAAAAGATACAGCATCTGGGGTCTTAAAGGCTTAAAGATAAATAAGCAACCATGAAGCTGAGAAGCAACCAAGTCCACATGGAATAAGCACACCAGCCTGTGTGATCATGAGGTGTTGATGGCATCAGGTATGAGGCAACAAAGTCCCAGAACAAAAATCATATCAATGTGAATGAGGGGGAGTGCGGAGTGGAGACCCAAACCCCATCTGTAATCAATTGGACATCCCCTTACAGAAGGGTCACAAGGAAGAGACGAACCAGTCAGGGTGCAGTAGAGCACCGATGAAACAGACAACTTGCCTCTAGTTCTTCAATGCTTCCTCCCCCCACTATCATGATCCCAATTCTATCTTACAAATCCAGCTAGACCAGAGCATGTACACAGGTACAGATAAGAGATGGAAGCACAGGGAATCCAGGTAAGGGGAAGGTAGGGGAGAAAGGGGGAACAGATCACAATGATCTACATATAGCTCCCTCCCTGGGTGATGGACAAGAGAAAAGTGGGCGAAGGGAGACATCAGACAGTGTAATCCATGAAATAATGACAGTTTATAAATTATCAAGGGTTCATGAGGGAGGGAGGGAGGGTTGAGGTTGGAGGGAAAAATATGAGGAGTTGATACCAAGGGCTCAAGTAGAAGGCAAAAGTTTTGAAGATGATGATGGCAACAAATGTGCTTGACACAATAGAAGTATATATAGATTGTGATAAGAGCTGTATGAACACCCAATAAAATTATTTAAAAAAATAATTCCTTTTCCCTTATGTTCTAGCGCTGAGGACACTTGTAGGCCACATTTCCTAAAGTGTGTGTCTGCGTCTATGTCTATGTCTTTCCATAT